CTACTCTAAAATGCACCCCGTTTCAATATATGATCACATCCAGCAAGTAGGGATTAAAGTGGCTTTAAATTCCCTTGTTTACATCTACATAGTATTTGACTAAGCTTCTATGCAGAGAGATGCGAAAGAACATTGAAATTCATTAATACCCTTACAAATCCTTCGATCGTTGTTGTAATTTAATTGAAACAAATAAAATGTATAAAAATTATGTACAATATGGAGCAAAGTAGGCTACCCAAGGAAAAGTGGCAATATAGAAAAAGCAGGAATTCTCAAAATCCTAATTTTAACGATATTGATATTAAAAGTAATTTAGAAACAAAATAATATGATTTTTAATTAGTGTATAATCAAGTCAATCTCCTCGTGGACGCTTAAGGAGCGTCCATTCCCCATTTTCCTGGGGAAGCCTGCTATGCTCGATGCTGTACTTTCTAATTTCCCTATCGGAAATAACATACCTAAGAATTCCTATAAGTAGATAATTTAGTACTATTCGGAAAGGACGATTAATCTCGTTCGCCCTATTAAACATTGCCCAACCTAACCGTTGGTTATACTGTTTTTCACGCTTTCGTACGGCAACATCCGGTTTCCCAAGAACTACCGTCAGTCAGACGTATTTACTGTCGATGGAGCGTGAAAAACGAAGTGATTAATGTACCATGTCTAATCAGACTGGCATTTATTGGGGAATCACGAAAGCACACGGTACCTATCGTGTGAAATTAAATTTCGAAATTAGAGAAATAATATTTTGGACCTATAATTATTTCTTGTTAAGTCCATCTTTCTATATTTTTAGTAATCCAAAATTCTAAAAATAATTCATAATTAATCACAGAAGAAGCGCAAAAGAATAAAAATCTACCAAAAGAGAGGAACAGACGAAGGGGATAATTAAGAATTCCTGGAAAACCGTTGTTTATCACGTGAAATGTATCCGATTACACGCGAAACAGAAGAAGCCAGAGACTCCCGAAAATTAGACGTTAGGCTCATCTGTCATTTTAAACAAGACGTCAGAGAAGTGCCGTTAATTTTGTCACCCGTTGCAGAGTGCACAAATTACAAGACTCGTTTACGAGGCGATATCTCACGATTTGATAAACGGTTTCCGAGAAAACAAAAACTCTTTCGGCATCGTGCACTCCCTCCGGTTCTGTTGCTTCAACCAAGCTGGAAGAATCGCCAGAAATAACTTGCTCGTAGGGTTTCATTGCAGCCTCGGTCGCAAAAGAGAAGAGATCTACAACGAAGAAACAGCAACATCGTTTATCAATCAATTTATTGTGATCATAACACCTGTGATTTGTACATTACATCGTTCTTCCTACCTCGTCGCTTCTATTTTATTATGTACCCAAATTCCTTCAAGGTTTATTTGTATTTAAAGGGAATAAAAGGGGATATTGGTGCACTTATCTTAACAATTTGTATCTTAAAAAATTGCTCCCCATATTACGGTACCAAAAAATTGGTTCTGATTTGTTTTATAAGATTCAATGGTCAGGTATCTCCATAATAACTTATTAACAATGGGCCATTGAAAATAAATGTTGTTTCCCTGCGGCTCGGGGATCAGAATACGGCCACGGTAACCCCTGCCTGTCGTAAGAGGCGACTAAAAGGGGCACACGAATCCTTTTGGTTTTGAAACTCAATGTTTTATTTAATTAATCAAAGTAGTTACAAGGATTCCGCGGCATAAGACCGTGAACACCATCTCTGGGAGATATACCCATGCATTACTAGGCCTTTCAAGGCGCAGTTTAGAATGTGGCGCACATCCATACGTTCCATTTAATAAACTGCAGTCCTTTTGCCTATACTATGGGCGTCCGTCAATCTGACACGTTGGATGCAACGTGTTGGACGGGCGGGTAGCGCTCTTAGCGAAGAGGTGCATCCTTTCCTAGGCGGGGTGGGTGGTATGTAGCGTCGGGCGTAAGTCCAGGGGGCCCGAAAACCTCCGTTGCCAGCCGATATTAGAAGTGCACCATTTTTGCGTCATTGTTGCTCTATTTTGCTTTTCAGTATTTGCTCTTCAAGCATTGTAGAAAGCTCTTCGTTCTTACTTCTAATTCATTCTGTCCCGTTCACGGTTCTCGATCCTAAACACTCATCATTCACACTCATCATTCATCAGTATAGTGAAATATTAGCCCGTTAGATGTTTATGTACTAGTCATGTTTTTAGATCAGGATTTTCTATTTTAATTAGTGTTGCGAAAAATTTCCAACGCGAGAGTAAATATGACAATGCACTGACTAGTATTTGGTGGGAATCCTTTTGGTTTTTAAACTCAATCCAATATTTTATTTATTTAATCAAATTAGTTACAAGGATTCCGCGGCATAAGACCGTGAAACACCATCTCATGGGAGATAAACCCATGCATTACTAGGCCTTTGCAGGCGCAGCTTTAGAATACGGAACATATGAAAATATGTTACCATATTCTAAACTGTAGTCCTTTTGTCTATACTATGGGCGTTCGTCAATCTGACACCGTTGGATGCAACGTGTTGGACGGGCGGGTAGCGCTCTTAGCGAAGGGGTGCATCCTGTCCTGGCGTTACGACGTCCAGGCGGGGTGGGTGGTATGTAGCGTCGGGCGCAAGTCCAGGGGGCCTAAGAACCTTCGTTGCCAACTGATATTAGCAGTGCACCATGTTTTATGTCATAGTTGCTCAATTTTGCTTTTCTGTATTTGCTCTCCAAGCTTTATATTTGCAAAATCGAGTCACTTTTATTAAAAATAAAACCTCCTGGGGGGGCCAGCCCATATACTAAATCGGAGCCGTGAAATTTCGCCGATATTCTTACTTTGATGAAAGTGAGAATATCATCTTTAGTTTTTGCTAATCATACGTTTTAGCTTAGGCATTTCAGCACACATGAAGAAAACTGGTAGGTGAAAATACCTTTGGCCTTGTTCATTTTTATGCCCAAAGCTCATTCGGGTACTTAGATGTACCCGCGTGGGTGGAGGGCGGTGGACAAGGTTTAGTTTTAAGTGTAATACATTTTGGCGACTGACAAAAGTAGTGAACCAATAGTGAACCACGATAGAAGTTCCACATGTGTGTGTGTGGTTAGGATGTGGAATTTGTATCGTTTATTAACAATCTTAACTTACTATAACATTACAAAATACTTATCAAGAATAAATTGAAAAATTTTTACATTAGATAATTCAATAGAATACGAAAATGAAATGTATTACTTTAGCATAATGTTCACTATTATTTGTCAGTCGATTTCAGCAAAAAGGTATGATTTTATTAGAGTGTGAAAGTTGAATTGAACTCGGGTGTCGGAGGCGTCCCGGGACGTTCTCCCTAGGTGTAGGCATTTTTGCACCCGGGTGGTTGTATGAGAACCGTGGAGTGAATTTTTGTGAGAATGATTTTTGCCCTTTTTTAAATATAGCGATAGGCAGGCAGGTAGTTTATTTCTGGTGTGATTGAGTTTAGTTTATAAGTAGGCAGGGCCAGAGCAAGCTTTCATGTTTCTCTTCGTATTCTCCTCTAATACGTGAGAAGCTTGTATCTGGGGTTGGGAAACCAAAAATCAAGAGAAAAGATGAAAATGCAATTTAATTAATTTAGCATTCTCTCTTGATTTTTTCAAGGCCAAGCCTTATTAGTTTTTAAGTCGTAGTCGTGGTACTAGACCCGATTACAAAAATGAAGCATTAAAGTGAAAGTGCAGTGAAGTGAAGTGAAGTGAAATTAAAAAGTGTTTTGTGCTTGGACATTTGCATAAATTGTGCAGGTATGCGAGTAGCGATTCAAGGAATCGTTGCTCGTTTACGTGTTACGTTTTTACAAATGTCTGAGCAAACGCAAAGTTTTCGCGAGTGATTTTTGTGAGGCTATTGCCGAAGAAAGAAGAGGCTATATGCTGAAAAGCCCCGGCAAAATTTGCCCAGAAGAGGGGAACTACTAATGGCTCTCCATCTTCGGATGGACAGTCATTCTGTCACTATGCTCGCTAATTTGTTTTTTCATTTTTTGTGTTTTTCCTTGAACGGTATGAATAATATCGTCCAAGACGTATTGAACTCGACATTTTACGAGTTCAATACCCAGCTCGTTGACTGGTCAACTCGCGATTTTATTTCCGCTATTTCTTTTTCGTTTATTGCTTTATTGAAATAAATTATTCTGTTCTTATTTTAATTATGTTCTATTTATTTAAAACATACCCTGAGATTGTAATGGTAATTATATTTTCTGTTGTCAGCATTTTTCATTTCAATTGTAATCGAAATTATGATGTTAATTATATTTTCTATTTCAGCATTTTATTGTTGAATTGTTATTTTGTTAATTGTTACAGAAATTATGATGTTAATTATATTTTCTATTTCAGCATTTTATTGTTGAATTGTTATTTTGTTAATTATTACAGATATTATGATGTTAATTATATTTTCTATTTCAGCATTTTATTGTTGAATTATTATTTTCTCAATTGTTTCTGATATTAAGATGTTAATTCTATTTTCTATTTCAAGATTGTATTGTTTAAATCTTTATTTTATGTTGTATGTTTTGAATGGTTTCACGTTATTGTATATCTAATCCTAATAATTATGTTTTCCGTTACAGCATTTTATTGTTAAATTATTATTATTTTCTTAATTGTTTCTGATATTAGGATGTTAATTTTATTTTCTATTTCAAGATTGTATTGTTTAAATTTTTATTTTATGTTGTCTGTTTTGAATGGTTTCACGTTCTTATGATTTTAGGGTGGGTCACTAACGTAGCCACCTCCATGTGGTGTGACCTGGTAATTGATATCGTTTTCTAAAGATAACTTTTAGAAAGCGATATCAAGCTAAGAGCTACGATAAAAAGATTTATATATTTTTTAATTGGGAAACAATAGTTTAAATTCAGAAAAGTATTTTCGGGATTGCAATATTACCATATAGAACGTATAACTATAGTAATTTTATAGTTCCTGAAAAAGGAACTTGTATGATTTTTGACTAATTACAAATGACTAATTACCTCCTTCTTTTCGATGTCGGTTAAAAATAAAATGAAAAGAAAATCACAAAATATGGAATTTACAAAGAACGAAGTTGTTTAAAACGCAATGGTAGAAAGAAATCAACCCTAGCGAAGATATTTCAAGCAGAGATGTTGTACATTGGAAAGGCCATGACTTTATCCATGACTCTGGTCAGACGCCAGATCTCGCTCTTGTCCACAGAACACATAATTTTTGCTTTTCATTTGATAGAAATTCGCTACGTTGACTAACAAATATTTTTCTTATAACAATTTTCAAGAGGAATTCACTATTGAATGAAAGTAAAAATTTGCATAAATGGTGGGTGGATGGGATGAAGTAGGGCGGGTCTTCAAACCACAGCAACCTCCTCGTGGTGAGAACTGGGCAATCGTTATTATTTGATGACTAATTAATAACTGTATCATTATTTCTATGGTACATTTATTAATTATACAGGAAATAATACAAGCGAATTGGCTGCGAAATTTATGCTTTTTTTTTTATTTAATCTCTGTTATATATTTTTCAGGGACTATGCCTTTCAGATTCTGAAGTGTATCACATTGCAACTACAATTTTACGGAACGAAAATTAATAATAATGAATGCATGGTCAGTATTGTTTAATTATGTACTTATTCATATAACTATCGTAGCATCCACGTGTCATTTAGGTGTATGCGAAAGGTGACGTAGTATAGCATGCCGTTAGTTGATAGGGTTGATAGCATGCGATAATTGAGGTGGCGCTTAAATCAGTTTCTGTTCGGCCTAATTTTCGATGAAACGTTGACTGTTTTACCGACGCGGAATTCGAAGTTCGGCCTCGACTCTCGCATCCTGTTTCGCACCATTTCTCTCTAACTCGATACTTGTCGAGCGTCACCTTTTTCAAAAAGTGGCGCGAAACTGATCGTCGTATAATTCGCAAGTGATCGACTCATCGGCATCGTTTATTTCACGATTTCATTTATGATATAACATTTTACAAATTAATAGTCACCACGACACAACACTTCGTATGGCGACCAGTTTCACGATCCCATCAGATCCGAAAAAAATGAAGTTTTAATGAAGCAAATCATACACCAAACCAGTAGAAATAACAGCAAATTAAATTAAAATCGCTGATACAATATTACAGTCGAATACACACCAATAAACATTAATATTCAAAGGCAAACAAACGTAGGCCATACAAAAATTTCTCATAGGATATGCGTGAATAATCATCTCGCTTGGTTAAAAACGGAGGCAACAGATATCCATGAAATAGATGGAGCGTAAATTATTGGATGCACGTATCACAATAGTGGTTGAATTAAACAAATAATAGGCGCGGGATGAGGTCGCGTGTTAGCTCTGTTTCTAACACTTTGTCACGTGTCTCTCGTGCAAACAGACACCGTACAATTGTCGAAGCTGCGGGACATGTCATCAGCGATCTATTGTGTATCAGAGAATCCCACGGATCGCCCCACGGATCCCGTAGAAAAGGGGATGCATAAATATCTATTACGTGTACAATGTCCATCCATGATTGCACAATATTTTTTGGCTTAAAATAGAGGCTGCCTAAAGTAAACAATGGACTGTAATATCCAGGGAAGTACGAAGGCTTTAGATCATTTTAAAAGGCGTGTATCTTTCTATTAGAACGTTAATAAGAGATAACAAGAATCGTTCTTTGCTATGGGAATAGGTGTTCTCGTAATCGGCACGATCGTCGGCGATAAATTAAAATGCGGCCGAATCTAAATCAGGATCTAGGTAGGTAAACAAAGGTCTCGTCGGGGAGGGGTAGACCAGGGTATCACCCCCCTTTCAAATTTATCCGGCTATCCTTTTTATCTTGAACTGCTCTTACGCACGAAATAAAGCGAAGGATGGAGGATGATGGAAAGAGGGAGAAGAGATATCTGCAGAATGAGAAGATGGAGGATGCGCGATCAACTCTCCGGGGCCAGATATCCTCGTGGGCCCTTCGGTTTTCGAGCAGCACCGGCCCCTAATAACAGGGTACACCGAGGCTAAACAAACATACACGCCCCTGGCATCTTTCGTTGAAAGAACACACGAGAAGAAATGTAAAAAAAAAAAATGAAAGAGAAAAAGAAACAATTTAGCTACGCCACTTAAAGGATGCATAAGCTGAGGTATGATAGGCAGCGAAAAAGTTAACAAGGAATCAAGCGTGTAAGTACATGCCTCGTTTCGTTGAGACATAAGATGGAGTTATAATCTTGATCATTTGAAATATTTTCGTTAATTATTAAAAAAGAAAATGAATATAAAGAAGGCAAGTTTGATTTGAAAGATTGTACTCTTGATACTGAATGTCGATCTTGTACCACTTCACCATTTCTTAAAATGAAAGCTGAAATGTACGTGCCGAGCTTGGAAGGATCTTAAAGCTTGCCATGTAATTAGGGGAAGTGAAGAACAAAAGAGAATGGAATGGTAGACATTTCGGTATTGTTTCCGTACAGACAGTGGTACTGTACTTGCACTTACAGCTTTCAATATTTTTCAAAAATATTGGTAGAACGCTGCTCTCTTTATTTAAAAGCAGAGTATGTTTATTTTTAATTTAAGAAAAAGAGATTTAATTAAAGAATTAAAAGAGATTAATTTAAGATAAAGAACAATTTCTGATTATTTTTTATACAGATAAATGAAATATGAACCCAAAAAGATCGTAGGGTATGTGACACTTAACTCTCGGACGGCGGACCATGAAGAGAACCTACAATTTTAATTTTCTTCGTTCCTGTATCACTGGATTAAAATAAAATTCCTACTCTAAACTGATAAGTCACATTCAAAGTGTAAAACATTTGAAAAATCTCACACGAGTTTCTTTATCAATATGGAAATAAACAGTGTGAAAGTTAAATGTTTGAAGGGTCTGTCCATTTGTCTCTAGCACGTGCAAAAGAGCAGAGAAGAGATGCGCAAAATGCGAGAGTACGAGGATTTGTGTAAAAAATATACGAAGAAGAAGAAGGGTGTAAGAAAGAAGAAAGAGAAAAGCAAGGTAGATGAGACAAGAGGCATTCTGGTTTGTGGGCACAGCCGCTGCCTGCAGCCCACAATTATGATAATAGCCCCTGAGTCCTGAGTCTTGTTAGTCCAACGTGCAGCCAGCTTCTTTTATCTATATTTTTTTATTTGCAGGGCCCACCCTTCTGTACCCCTTGCCTACCGCAATTTCTACTTTCACTCCTTTGCTCCGTGGCGAGGTCAGGTGGAATCGAACTGATCGGATTTTACAGAAGAAAATAACTTTTTGGTATTTTACAATTTACTTTTACAAATTACTTTTTTTATAAATATATTGTAAAAAAAATATCTCCAGAAAATTTGAGAAAAATCTTCACTTTAATCCTTCTTTAAAGTATGAGGGTCACAATGGCTTCCCAAAATTATTTGAAAATTATTTTAGCAAATATCAAAATTTAGAAAATAAATTAATTTACACTTGCTAATTTAGTAAAATGGTGGTTGAACAAAATAAAAGCCCTAAGAAGTCATTTTGGAAATAAATTAAAAAATTCAAAGCAGGATTAAAATCGAATAATAACTAAAATCCTTTCGCAATATTCAGTAATAAATAATACAATTTTATTTATAAAATTTAATTTACAATAAATTATAAATATTCACCCCATATCTAACATTCCATTTTCTTTTCTTTCAGAGCTATTGAATCGTGTATGCGATTAACGAACGTGACCAGAAACAATGGGCACGTAAGGTGTGATTAATACGTACAAACGTTGCTGGTGTATTAATTAAAATTAAACGTATTCCCTTGAACTATACGATCCGAAGTTGTGCGGAACGCTTTTGCATTTCGATTGAATGCGGCTAGGAAAAGAGCAGCAAGGAATAAGAATACAAACGGCAAAGAGTCGACGCCGGGCGCGAGTACAAGGAGCGGGTGCACGGCACACACGTACACCTATAGTACGTTCGCGTCTGTAAACGTTGTAAAAGGCGGTAGCAAACGGAGCACGCTTTAATCCACTTTTCAGCACACCGTCGGGGCCTTTTGACTGTGCGGAAAGCGTTAATTGGAGACTGCGTCACGATCAGGCAAAGGAAGCCTTTCAAAGCGGAAATCTCCGTGTGATACTGCCTGCAGACTTTTTGTTTTTCAGGATAAGTAGAAAACGCTGTTTCTTCTTACGCGTCACTCGTGTAGATCCGAACGTATCATCAATGTTAGTTTTCTCAATGTCCTACCAAAGCGACATAAAGCTCTGTTGAATATTCGCGACATTATATCATCCCTCTAATGATGTATTATTGCAGAGGCATCATAGGTTACGAGACCCCGGGACTAGTCAATGAGACCTCCAGTTTAAGTCAATCTAAATGCTAACCATAGCATTTACTGAAACATCACTATAGGTATCCAAATACAACATTGAATTATATTGTATTTTGTTATTGTTCCTTTTTTCTTTTGTAATATAAGAGAATTCTAGGCATTCTAATTTCATAATTCTTTGAACTAGATGATACTGATCAACTGATGGAAATCACACTGGGAAATATATTTGCAAAATCCTAAGGTACTTATAATTTTCTTTTTTTGTCATTTGCGCAGAAATTCTTTGAAATAAAAATTACTTTCAAGGACGTTGTAGTTCTAAGAAAATTTTCAAAATATCTGAAAAAGGGAAGATACATGCGGTAATTTAAAATTGAAAATAAAATTTTAAAGATGTTTCCGCTCCTTCAAGTTGTTCAGCAATCACTGCCAGGGTAAATTTAGATAAAACAGGAACCTGGCTGGCATCATCGTGATATACGACTGTTTTTCCAGATTATGGCCGACAAAGGAATTTGTCTTGATTTAAGCGAAGCACCCTGTATTTGCTCGAGATTAAATGGAGTTTTCATACCACAGGTTACAGCATCATCTCTTTATATACTATTCAAAATTATTATAAATATTCTTGGAAATGCTTACATTTCCAAATAAATTTTGCAAGTAAAACTTCAGTAATTCAATTATTTCAATTTCAAGTCAAAATAGAAATGATATTATTTTAGAATTAAATCATAAAAATAGAATTTGGACTAGGTATTACAGTTATTACAAGATTGTGTAATTTTTCTATAGTTTATTGCAAAGTTTATCGTTCATAATATAAATTTAATTGAAAAATTACTTCTGAATAATTTATTCACTTCCTGGTTACAGTTACGAGATGCGCATCGATAAATGCCTATATATCACGTTTCGATGCTGGAGTAGGGCGCTTTCAGCAGCATCGATAAAATATAAAGTAATGACGAACTTAACCACATAATGGTTGAGATTAAGTTAATGAGCGTACGACGAGAATATTGAGAAGAAAATAAAAGATGGTGAACGAATTTGCGTGTTTTATAGGCAGCTGCCAATAGTCGTGATTGGTCTCGCAGGGAACACGTTCATGCAATACCTCTTGCAATGCTCGTTCTGCATAAAAGTAATCATCGTCCCTTTTTCTCATCATTTTCAGCTGTGTTGTATCTCTTTTATGGAAGCTTTTCAATCAGCTTTAAATTTGCAAAATATGTTTACTGGTTCCATACTTTATACTTTGTGTTTTATCTTTTATCGTTAAGGCAGAGGTTACTCTGTTATTTTATTCATGACTTCATAATAATCACCTTTCATAATTAAGAACGTATCGAAAGGTAAGAGGAATTTAAAGTTTAGATTTAATATATGTATAATATTCCAGTCTTAATTAAAATCTTTATTTATGTACTTTTGATAATCTTCATATGGTTATCTATGTCAGCGATCCGGATTTACTGCAATATTATATCCGCGATTTTCTATTTTATTGGTAGACAGTTCGATGCGATGGCTTTTTTTATTTTTATCTGGATCATGGATCAAGTCTGGTACTCCAATTTTAATTCTCCCCTTAGTTACCGCTACACGAAAGACCGAGACCATCCGATCTACACGACGCCTGAAACGAGCGATTCTCGTAGGTAGACTTCGGCCGAGCTCGGGCGGGCTCGACTAGTTTCGGCACGCCAAGCCTGCGTCGACCCCAGTCAACCCATGGCGGTCGGAGCACATAACTGGTTGTGACTTTCATGAGGCAAGTACCTCGCGCGCTCTCGTGTATGCATTTTCGTTCAATCTTCCGTCTTTTGTTTAATATTTTTATTATACAGACTGTCAAGCGAGCTAATAAATCGTTTCGAATTGTTTCGTCGATGTTTTTCAATCGTAATACGTAGGTGTCGTTATATACGATCCGAAAAGTAGTTCATACGACGAACTGTCAAAATTCGGTTCAGTTAGAAGTAATCGTGCAGTATTATCGAGATTATAACACTCTTTAATCCGTTTGGAAACATTGCAATAGAACGACGTGATGTCACGTGCGCCTACAGTAGTAAAACAACGATACACGTTACCCACGTACCATGAATCCAGTTAGAAGAGTTTAACGTTGTTTATAGCGTAACGTAACGCGTGTTTCGGAGTAACCTAGTATATACGACCGGTTAAACACGTGGTGGACACGATGCTTCTTAAATTGGCAGTATTACTGTTCGTATTCTACGTGCAGCCAGGTGCAAGTTACTTCAACCTATTCCTTAGCCAAGCAGAAGTGCGGAAACTAATGGGTAAGTCACAGTACAGTTTTTTTACAGTTGTTTTCACGGTTTAGTGGATCGTTTATGCTTCATTCATTATGTCTCGCTTCATCCTTAAATAGTAAGGTGCAACTAGTGCTGCACATATGGTAAAATGGAGCCAAGTAAACCCTCCTAAATGTTACATATTTACTTTGTTGTTGTGAAATTTAATTTTTGTTTTAAGTATAGATATTTTAGAATAAGCAACAATATAATATCTAAGATTTTATTTTTTAAATTAATTTTTTACCATGAAAGATACGACAAACAATATATCTTAATGATATTAATAATGTACTAATTAATTAGTTTCATTCATTGTGGTATTGCTATAAAATAGTGGGTTACAAACATTTTGAAAAATTTTTTATTTAAGTTTCTTTAAAATGGAAGAAAATAAATAAATTATAGGTATTCTATATTATAGACTTATTTTCCCATGTAGAATCATCTGCCACTTGTGCTATATATTACCGGACACCTTGTATATTGATTGCTATGTTTAGTAGAGCGCGAATAAAGGTGTCTTTGTAATATTTTAAATAGCTAAGGGTTTTCTTACTATAGTTGATATCTATTTATCAGTAACTAACATAAAAATTCAAAGATGTCTGTATCCGTTTAAAATAATTTTATTCTTTGAAAAATATACATTTTCTTTTATACAAAAATTGTAGTGTAATAGTTTTTACAAAAATAACAAATTATTAGTTCGTGTGCTAATTACAAAATTTATATTTTTCAATGCGCAATAAAATAGTTCTTGTAAAATAAAAGTAAACATGATATAGCGTCTTCGTCACCTTACCCCATAGGGCGGGTAAGATGACTAACGAAATGGAGTAGCATGACTAGCCTGAACGTATGTCACAATTAAAGTCTTCTACCTCGTAATCACTGCAGACGTCGTGACAGTACTGTTGACATTTAGAACATTGTATTTGATGTTTTGTTCCTGGTACTTGACGAACATCACAAAAATTCTATTCCAGAAAATGAGATCATCTCTTTAGATTTCTTTATATAGTTCCTCCAAATAATTTTTTGTATAAGTGCCACTAATAATGCTCCCTCATTTGAAAATTTGAATACTTCACAATTTCAGATTTCCAAAATTCGAAGATTTCAAGTTTCCAAATTTTTAAAATTCCAGGATCTTAATATCCTTAAATACGAAAATTTCAAATTCACAAAATTTCAGAATTTCTAATGGACCTAGTACATCCCTCCAAAAAACCTAGTTACGCCAATGCTGAAGAGGCCATTTCACCCCTAATTAATCTTGTCAATTTTGTACATCTCTGAATGCAATTTTTTGAAAAAAAAAGCTCGAGATTTGCCTCTGCTTACAACCGTCTATCGAAAATCCAATTGGTTGGGTGCGTCGGTCTGAGATCGATTCAACGACCCATTAAAATCTCTCGTGAAACGATGTCGTTGATTTTAGTGAATCCGAACAAATTCGTGCGACGATACTCGATCGCTTGTTCCATTCTCACGCTCTCAATCTCTTTTTCCTATTTCCTCCGTCGTCGTGCGTATTCCCGTTCCGGATTTCATTTGAAGTTCCCATTAGCCAGAAAACGACGTCGCTCGAGCTTGCTGCACACGAGTCGGTGTACCGGAAACAGGTAAAAGCCACTCAACGCCACGAACTTTCCAATATTTCCTCGATAACTTCCACGGCGGCGGATAATTCGTTCTCGGCTCGTTGATCCGCGAAAAGCGTTCAGCTGGTTTGCTCGGCTCTGTCCTTCCCTGTTCTGCATCAACGCGAGACGCAAACGGGAGGAGTCGACGACACCTGAACCAGCTTGAATCGGTGATTCGTCGTTGAGGGAAATGCGCTCGTGCGTGGGATTGTGCGTTTTCAGTCGCACACTTTGCACCTCGTTCCACGGTCGACGACACCTATTTCGTATGCATCTGTAGAACCTCTCTCTGCTTAACTCGAACGTTCGACGTCGTGTCAAGAACTTCGCGCCAAATCGGATTGTACCGGGTTGATATCGTGTTCGTATCGGTTTCTTTTATTTAACCCTTCCATCGCTAAGGCGACTACAGTCGCTTGTCACGAGACGGCTACTTGATACTACAGACAATCTATTCGTATGAAACTTTTTCGTTAAAATAGTGGAACTTTAGTTTTGTAGGTTTATGTCACGATCGACTTCATTACATCCTTAGAGGGTTAATAAAACTTTTAGGAAGTATAATAGGTTTACTTTGGGGTACACAAAATTATTAACCCTACTTTATATATTTCGATAGTATTCGATAAGAAAAACTCAGAAATACAAGTTTTAACTTAGGAAATCATCTGTTTAAAAGTTATATGTATGTAGATCTCGGCGTTTTTAGAGTATTTTAGGTTAGTTTGACGCCATATTGGATTCTACCCACAATTCGTCCAATAAGCGAAGTTGATACCGTTAGAGAGATCTAATTGGTCCCCGTAGACCAATCGGATTGTAGATAACAATTAATATGGCGTCGAGCGAACCTCAAAAGTGTGCTAAAAACGTTCTTGTTAAATAGTATTGAAATACATAATAAAACGTCAATTTTTTTGTGTGCCCTAAATAATTCATGAACATGCAAGAATTTATTAAAATCTGAGTCCGACGGTTGATGAGAAATGAAACTTGCCTTGTGAGATGTTTCTACCAATTACATTGGTTGTTTTTCGAACAGTCCTCATGCTAACGACTGTTTTGTCGCCATTTCGCGATAACGTAGATTGGCAAAAAAATATCAAAGGTGGAAGGAGATTCGTAGAATAACATAGCACAGAAGATATATGTATTTGGGACTCAATAAAATATTATAACGAGGTCCTTGTTAAGCGAATGCAGCATGGGGCGTCGAGTCACAGGACTGGACCCTAGTTTGTTTAGACACCGAGTAATCGACAGTCGCTTCTCTTCGTCTTGTTTTCCTACGGGTTGCCCCGTCCTCTTGCTTCCTTTCTTTTTTCTTCGTTGCCTTCTCATTTTAGTCCGATGGCCATGTTGCGCTGTACGCCGAATGGACCCTCCTTAGATAGAGCCCTCGATACCGATTTCGGTGGCCCTTCTTGCCTCGCTCTTCATATACGTAGACCTCGATTTTTTTTCGAGCAGCACTCATGTTTCCTGGAACAAGGTGGTTTCCTATTTCGATATTTACTAGGATTTTTGTGTTCCTCCCTTGTGTTCTTTCATGATTAAGGAAGGAAAAAATTGATCCCCAAAGGGCATACCTTTTATTCTTTTATTTCATGCAATCATAATAAAGATATTGATTGGTGATTAATTATGGTTGTAGATTCTTATTGTTCTGTTCAACAAATGGTCTAACAAGGACGTTTGTTAGAAATTGAACATAGAATGTAAGGAAGGTATTAAGAAGGGGTATTTTAAATTACAACATACCTATTTTAATTTGTTAATAATGTTTCTTGCATTTAAAAGGAATTTAATAAGTATCCAAAAATTTGTGTATATCAATTCAGGTAGTTGTAAAATATACAGTAAATTTTTGTGAAATTAAATGAAAATGTAGAAATCTTTATCGTATTTTTGCGATCATTTGTTTCTTCTTTTTAATACGATTTTTTCTTCACCAAAACGAGTTTTCAAGATCCAACATGCTCCGAAAATTTTCGAGTTATCTTAAAGTATTATACTCCTACGAGTTTGCTACCACTTCGGTATCGTGTAGCATCCACTTTGGATAAGATAACTTTGAATTCCACCGGTGCCAAGTTACATTCCTATTTCTCTGATTTCTTCCGCTGAAGACGAGTAAATTACATTCCTCGATCGTTCATGATATCAACTATTACATTTAATTTGCTGACGTTGCTTTTGTGTCCAAACGATTCAAGATACATTATCTTAATTGATAAAATTTTTATTCTTGATATTATTAATAATTTATCATAGTTTAGTCATTGAAAAGTTATCGTTAACGTAGAAATAACTTTTCCGTTTATTAAACGCTGTTTAATAACACTTCTGTCAATGATAAGTATTGTAGCAACCCAGATAAAACATATCTTGACTTCTTCATAATTAATGTATTGCCATCATAATTAATTACAATATTGCAACAGCTGCGCAACCAGTTAGCAATGATTTCTCTTCGTAATTTCTCCTTGCTGAACTGTTGAACATTATTCAAATAAATTTGCATACAGACGATCATTTAGGTACTCTTTATTTATTATTGTATTATTGTATTATTTGCAGTATTAGCAATTACAATATTTTTGTTGCAATGATATTTCTAAGAATCTATTTTCTAAAAAGTTAATTTCGTGCCTTTAGCATTAATCCTTCTTAATTACTACTTTAAAATGTAATAGCAACAAAGCTTACTTCATGAATTGGAGTTACCGTAACTTTATAAAAATAAATCTTCAATGAAAAAAAGAAAAGGCACTGAATTAATTCGTATAGCTAATATTTACATTTTATCTACATAGTACTGCAATTATCTCAATTATTCAAACAAAGTTCTATTTAAATACATCATTTACTAGATTAATAGTTTTATTAATATTCGGATAAAAAGTATTTGTTTTATTTAAATGAAAAATTTCCTACCTGTGTTGCAATATTAATTCCTTTTTTTTATTATGTAAATACACGGTAAAGAATTTTTAAGATGTTAACTCATCTGAAATAACAGGATCGAAATTTCAATAACTTTCCACTCGTCGAATTAACATAAGGCGAAAAAACTTGTAAAATTAATACTCCGTTCAATCAAGAAAACGTCAAACTGCAATGATCCGCACGAGCATCATCCATCAGAAGTCCGTGTCAAAACACGAAAGTAGTGTGCACTCGACAATCTTGTGCCGGAGGCGGTGTTTTGCTCGTGTGAGTCCGGTTCGGGCCCGACCTTAGCTAGTTAGGGCCTGACAGGCCCATCTTGATGTTACTTGAAGAGTGGGGCGGCCACAAAGGTCCCGCCTGGGCTCCGTGAAAACGTTTATGCAC